GTGCACATGGGCACAGCAAAAATGCCCACTCAAAAGAAACCAGGCATGCCACCCATGGGAGAGGAAGCTGAGGTGAAGTGAGTTGCCCGAGTCCATAGTATATGCATGTCTGAGTCAAGTAAAGGGGCCAGTCAGCAGTGTGACAGTACAGCAGCCAGCTCCCAGCGACCCTGTCCCAAACAGGACCCCTGGTCTGGTCTGTGCTATCAGCACTGAGAGCTGACCCCTCCATCGGGTGGGGATGGCCCAGGGAAAGCAGCCTTGGGTTGTGCCTGGAATCACGAGCTTTCTGTCTACCCATAACAGGAGCCAGGAGGAGCAGACCGCGTGTGCTAGGACCCAAGGGGCATTGACCAAGGCAGAAGGAGAAGGAAGCTATTTCTTGCCACAGAGGGGGACTCAGAGCTACTGGGTTATCGGCACCTCCCTTCCAGTCGACTGCCAAAGGGCCGCGTCCTGCGTGCCTCGTTGTTTCCAAAAGAAGTGCCTGGACTCTGGCCTGGGGACTGTGTTTCCTACCTGGCTGAGCATCCAGGCCTGTCGCCATGTGTTTGTATAACTCGCCTCTGTGCGTCAGATGTTCCCAGCCTTCCTCTGTGAAGTTGCAGTTTCTGGCTCTGGATCTGTCATTGAAAGCAGTGGCCACCTCCCCTTGGCTTTGCTGGGTCCAGCCCTGGGCCTTGTATTCATTAGCACAGTGCATCTCTGTGGGTGTCTGTGAAGGACTAAGCCATTTCCAAATGGGAGAACCAGGCACAGAGTCTGTCCCTGCCCCTGCCTATTCCAGACAGAGGCAGATAATTGAATGGGAAAGGTGAGGCAGAGGCAGAAACAGGTCCTGGTTTTGCATAGGGCATGAAGACAAACCCTAAATTTGCGCCTCAACCCTGAGAACAATGAGCAACAAGCACAGCTGCTTATTTTTGGCCTCTCTGGCTCAATGGATTCAGCATGTGAGTTGCCGTTAATAGGACCTGGAGCAATTTATTTGCCTGCCATCTGCTACCAAGTCACTGGATGTCCTTATCCAAGTCGCATTTTGCCTTCGGCAGACGGCAGGACAGGGCAGCACCTTGGAGACTAAGGTATGAGTTTTTGTAGGCAACAGCCTGCTTGATCAGATGTGTGTGCCTCAGTTTCCATACACAGGGACTGATGCTCTGCCTGCTTTGTAACTCCCCCGGCAATTTGGAGAGAGTGGGCTGGGAAAGCTTGCTGCACCTGTATGGGTGGGCCGCATGCTCTCTGATACAGATTGGCTGTCATTTTGCCCATGCACACGAGTAGGACAGTGTATGCACGTGGTCTGGGTGTACCAACAAGCCAAAACACTGTGACCCTTGTAGTTGTCGAGCTGCTGAATCATTTATGAGAAAGTAAAAGCAAAGCGTGACTCCATCTCCTTTCCCCCCGCTGGGCCTGCCAGCAGCCTCTACACATGACCTAGTTCTCCTGGAGGGAGCTACTGCTGATGCCAGCTGTGAAATGTGAAGGCGTGCAGGAGTCAGCCGGGGGAGAGCCGGTAACACAGGTACTGACAATTGAAGCCAGGGCTGTCCTGTTTTTATGATGCACACATTTCCCCAGGGAGCTCTGGGGTGAGAACGGTGTGAAAGCTCAGTAGAGAGCCAATTCGATCCCTGGAAAGGAGGACTGGCTCTCAGTTTTGGAGCTTCTTAATCTGTCCTTAGAACTCAGCGCTAACCCCTGTCCTCTGCTGTCTCTCTGGTTGCCCTCTTCTCCAGCATGGGGTGAAGGCTGTGCATTAGCATCTATAGATGGCCTTCTTTGGAGGGAGCTGTGAGTCACCTGCAGTGTGTCATGTCACAGGGACAAATGTGATCTGCTGCTTTTGCACCAGGGAAAAAAAGGATGGGTCATTTGCTATAACCTAGACCCCTTCCTGCTCTTTCCTACACCCCCACCTCCCTCCCATTGCCATAGGCATCTTGGCAGAGCTCTGGCTGGCAAGAAAGACAGCCATACAACCCCAAATCTACCAGCGTAAATCCCAGGTGCTAAGCTTTAATTAACGCATTTTCCCACCCAGCTCCTGCCTCCCTGGGAGTCCTTTTCTTTGCCAAGCCAGTTGCTCTGGCTTTGTTAGCTGGCACTCCCTTGGGGACAATGACAAGGAAACCCCAGCCTGCAGTTCTGGGACATTTAGAATTAAGCATCAAGCAATGCCCTGGGTCTCCAAACAGCCCTGGACATTGGGAAAGTTTGGATGCAGCTGAGGAGTTTGCAGCGAGGGCCCCTCTGTGCCTGTCTCTCTTTCCCCTTTCCTGATTGTTTTTCAGGCTGTTGTGCAAACCCAAAGCTGAGGATGCTCTCTGACCCCTTGCTTCTCTCAGGAATCATTGGGATTACTTGGAAATTGATTTTTGTTACAGCACATTGACAGCCAAAGCAATGTTCTTGGCTCTCCAGGGCATCTGCCTGTTGCAATGACCACAGGCTTTGCTTTCTTCTCTTCTCCTGTGTTCCTTGTTAGCCTGTCCTCCTACCCCCACCTTCCTGCCCCTTGGTGTGTCAGCTACACTTGCTGCGTATGCATGCAGAATAGCAGAGATGCTTGCGACTGTGTCACATATCCCATGCCTCATACCCACGCTACCTGAAACCACTGATGAACTGGAACTGTTCTGTCCACTTGCAGGTGCCAAGGTGAATTCTCCAGTGCAGCCTTTCA